TATATATATTAGTCATCTTCCCATTCCTAGCTCCTCTTTGGTGACCACATTGGCTCTGACTTCTTAGAATGCATAATTTTTTATGACTAATGATACATCATGTATCTTTATTATTATTACTTATTTTATGTGTATGAGTGTATTGCCTGCGTGTATGTAAGTGCACCCATGTCATGCAATGCCAGCAGGAATCAGAAGAGGGTGTTGGATCCCCCTGGAACTGTTGTTACATGCCGTTGTTAACCTCCATGTGGGTGCTGGGAATTGAATCTGGGTCTTCTGCAAGAGCAACCAGTGCTCTTAACTGGTGAGCCATCTTTCCAGCCACATATCCTATATCTTAATGTCAGACTTGATATTTAATATGTATCTGTTGAAATAATGAATTTATAAACCCTCAGGGCTCAGTAGAAAACTTAATTGGAGTCACTTGCCTGTGTTTTTTCTATATTATTGTCTGTAAAGTGTTTGATTTTTTTTTTTTTTTTTTTTTTTTTTTTTTTTTTTTTTAAAAAAAAAAAAAAAAAAAAAAAAAAAAAGAGGACGATAAATCTTTCACTGTGATATATCACTCAAGAGATCTGCCTGCCTCTGCCTCCCAAGTGCTGTGCCACCACACCCGGCTACTTTGAATTTTTGAACATATTATTGTAGAAAACTTAAATATCTCAGAAATATGCAGTCCTAGCATTCAGAAGACTATGAGGCAGAATTGTTTGAACCCAGGAGTTTGAGACCAGCCTGAGCAATGTAGCAAGACCACATTTTAAAAAACAGAAAAGATGAGCTGGGCATGGTGGTGCATGCTTTTAATCCCAGCACTTGGGAGGCAGAGGCAGGTGGATCTCTGTGAGATCAAGGCCAACCTAGTCTACATAGTGAGTTCCAGGCCAGCTAGGGCTACAAGGAGGCCCCGTCGGAAAAGACAAAAGGAAAAAAAAAAAAACAGAAAAGATTTTCCACTTTAAAAAAAAAAAATTAATTTTGTGAATAATTTTTAGCTGTGCAGAAAAGTTTTACAGATAGTTTTGAGTGCCCAACTCCCCTTTTTCTCCCAATGCTTGTCTCCTATAACCATTCACCAAGACTAAGAAACCCACACTGTTTATTTGAGTTTCAGGAGCTTTTCCAACGAATGGCTTTCTTCTGTTCCAGGGTCCAGTCCAGAGTACTATATTGTTACGTTTCATCTGCCTTGATTCTGAAATTGACACATCTCCCTTTTGAATTCTAGAAACGGCATATGGAAGGAGCCGTTCTTTTTGCCATCCTGCTACATTTTAAGCACATCTACCTCTATGTAGCACCAGCCTATGGTATATACCTGCTGAGATCTTACTGTTTCACTGCAAGCAAACCAGGCAAGTTCTAGTGACTACAGCAAAATCTTTTTCTCTTCCTTGTGTCTTACTGTTTTATGAAGCACAACAGATACTGGTATGTCCATCCTGATTTTCTCTCCTCCACAAAAAGGTCAGTATATAATGGCACACACCTCTGATCTTAGTGCTAGGGAGGCTGAAGCAGGAGGAATAGTTTGGGCTATGTAGAGACTACTATTGGAGGGTACTTCGCTCCTGGTAATGATAACTGTTTCTTTTCTGTAGATGGCGCTGTTCGATGGAACAGTTTCAGCTTTATCCGCCTTATTTCCCTGGCGCTGATTGTTTTTCTAGTTTCTGCTCTTTCACTGGGCCCTTTCCTAGTCTTGGTAAGCCTTTTCTTATTTTATTTCCATTTCTTATTTTTTTACTGTTTTAAAATAATGTAATGGCCGGGCATAGTGGCGCAAGCCTTTAATCCCAGCACTCAGGAGTCAGAGGCAGGTGGATCTCGGTGAGTTCAAAGCCAGCCTGGTCTACATAGTGAGTTCCAGGACATCTGGGGCTAAGATGAACTCTGTCTCAAGAACAAACAAACAAACAGTAATGCAGTGGTTTTGTTGTTCTTTAGAGAGAGTAATTAAGTCAGGAACATACGGAGTAATTTTAAAAGCTGCACCTTTCTTATGCTTACTGCCCATTAACTCCCCCAAGAGAAGCAGAGTATTTAAATATGCATATGATAATTGAATTATACACACAGAATTAATTTGCATTATTTGTGGACTCTGTATTTCCAAATTCATCTACTTACTAAAAGTTCTAGCCTCCCAAATCCTTCATAAATAGCACACATTCTAAAGTGCCTAGAACAAAGATACAATATTTTTCTTTTTCTCTCTTGCTCCCCACCCTGAAGTCAGTTTTAATTCCTACAAAAACTGAGGCATACCACATCATTTGTTGTCTGCCCTGCTGTCCCTGGCACTTAATAGACTCAGATGGACTGCATTTTCTGCTCTCTGTACCTCCAAATTCTGCTACTGTACTTATTTGGTAATAGCATGAACCTGAATTCACAGTATTCTTATGTGACTTACCTCATTGGCCAGTTAGAAAGGTTAGTCACAAAGAGATCTATGACCTTGGAATCATACAGCCATTTACTTGAAGAAACAAAGATGGGAACCTAGACTTCTAAGCGTCCTACACACTATGCCCCAGGCAGTTTTCTGTTTTTGAATTCCAAAAAAACTGACATCTGTTTAATGGGTTTCACTTCTCCTTTTCAACAGAACCAGCTGCCTCAAGTGTTTTCCCGACTCTTTCCTTTCAAGAGGGGCCTCTGCCATGCCTACTGGGCTCCAAACTTCTGGGCTTTGTACAATGCTTTGGACAAAGTGCTGTCTGTCATTGGTATGGTACCAAGTTTTTCACCATGAAGACTGAAAGAACTAGTCACATCAAGAAATGGAAAAACCTGTCCCTGTTTTGTGTTTGAATGTGTATTCTGAATTGCTTGGTCTCCAGTCCTACTTTTAAACTTAAATATCCGAAGAAGCAAGAAAAAAAGAATTGTGATTCTGGGCATTCAACTAATAAGGAAAATGATAGCCATTTCCACATGAAATTAACAGAAATGAAAAGCCTAGGCTGTGTTTTTTAAGTTTGGGTTGAAATGGAAAATAATGTATACTTTGAAATGGTTCTGTTTACAGTAACTCACCATAGAAAACACTTGTGAAGAGAGCCTAGCATAGTAGGGAAGAAGCAAGACAAGAGAGGTGGTTGGCAGACCTTTTAATAGCAGGCCAGAGAGCATTTTAGGCTGAGTAAGCCACACGGTATTTTTGTTTGTTTTGTACAACTCACTTAAAATGTAAAGACCCAGCTGTGGTAGCCCACGTCTGTATTGCCAGCTACTCAGTAGCCTAAGACAGGAAAATAAAAAATCACTTGTGCTCAGGCCTGGGCAGCATAGTAAAACCTGTCTCAAGAAAAAAAGAGAAGGCCAGTGTGGTGGCATACACCTTTAAGCACCAAGGAGCCCAGGAGGCAGGCGAATCTCTTGAGTTTGAGACCATCTGGTCTACATAGTGAGTGTCAGGCCGACCATGGCTACATAGTGAGACCCTATCTTAAAAAACAAGCAGCCAGGCATAGTGGCCCATGTCTTTAAGCCCAGCACTCACTCAGGAGGCAGAGGCACACATATCTCTATGAGACCATCTTTTTGCTTGTTTTTTTTTTTGTTTTTGTCTGGGTTTTTTTTTTTTTTTTTTTTTTGCTTGTAAGAATTTTCAGATTGAAAAATGAACAGCTTCCATACTGTCCACTGCAAGATACACAGTATTCACGAATACAATGCTGGTCATTTGTTTTTGTCTTTTGAGACAGGGTCTCTGTGTAGCCCCAGCTGGCCCGGAATTCACTATGTAGACCAGGCTGGCCTCGATTTCAGAGATCTGCTTCCCTCCCAAGTGCTGGGACCAAAGGTGTGCACCACCACATCTGGCCCTAGTTAATAGTTTTAAGATAGAATTAGAGGGACTGGGATTAGCTCAGCTGGTAGAATGTATACTAAGTGTGCACAAAACCCTGGGTTCTATCACCGGCACTCCATAAACCAGATGTGGTTGGTGTATGCCTATAGTCCAAGCTCTTTGAAGGCAGAGACAGGAAAGCAGGAATTCAAAGTCATCCTTGGCTATACAGCAGATTCAGTGCTATCCTGGGGTACATGAGCTGGGGGCTCACACCTGCTGGGTACTGCATCTGTCCATCCTCTGTATCTATCCTCTGCATCCATGCCCCTGCATCTATCCATCCATTTCCTACATCTGTCCCCAGATGTGGGCCTGTGAGTTCAAGGCCAACCTGGTCTACATAGCAAGTTCTAGGCCAGCTGAGGCAACAGGAAACGTTTTAAAAAAAACAAAAAAAAAAAAAAAAAAAAAAAGAAGGGAAAAAGAAAGAATGAATAGGAAAGGATTAAGTAGGAAATATTTTAGAAATCTCCATCTTCCCCACATTGCACTAGCCAGTGCAGTAGATGGGGCTGTATGGGTACTCAAGTTGTTGTGCCTGCTATATTCCTGCAGTTTGTTTTGGATGGGGCTTGCATCATCACTCTGGACTCGGTTCGTTTGACAAGTAATTATTGGACTTCTATGTTTGAGGATAGAATGAACTCATCATTTCTGTCTTTAAGGGACATAACATGGTAGGGGAAAAAAGCAGTGTGAACACTAGAGCACTCCCAAGAAATCAGCCTGCCATTTTGATTTAGCGCTCTTGAGTGAGTGAATTAGGAGTTAATTTGGCAGAGTAGGTGAGTTGTTCACAGGAGTCCGAGTAGCATGGGCAGAGGACACAGCTATTGAGGCTGATATGCTGAGGGCCCACAGTTAGTTCATCGTGGTTAATGCACATGAGGCTGGACAGGTAGGAAGGTGCTAGATCATGGAATATGAGCTTCCTCCTATAGGAATGAAGGTTGAAAGCTGAAGTGTGACATGGTCTGCAGTTTAAATAGCTTGCTTCATTTAAGAATTTAGTAAAGCAGGGACTGGAGAGATAGCTCAGTGGTTAAGAGCACTGGCTGCTCTTGCAGAGGACTGAGGTTTGATTCCTAGCACCCACATGGCAGCTAAGAACTATCTGTAATTCCAGTTCGAGGGGATCCAACGCCCTCTCTGACCCTCTCTGCCAGCATTGCATGACATAGGTGCGTTTATATACATGTAGGCAATATACTCATACACATAAAAATAATAATTTAAAAAATTTTTATTAGTATGAGTGTATTGACTGCATATATGTGTGTGCACCCTTGTCATGCATTGCCTTGGAGGGCAGAAGAGGGCGTTGGATTCCCCTGGAACTGAAGTTACGCACGGTTCATAGCCACCATGTGGGTGCTGGGAATTGAACTCAGGTCCTCTGCAAGAGCAGCCAGTACTCTTAACTACTGAGCCATCTCTCCAGCTCCAATAAATTTTTTTTAAAAAAGAGAACAGATTGCTGTTCACGTGCTGCCTGCCTGCAAAGTTCCTGTAGACTTCACAAATGGCCCATGCCGATTTTAGTCCATAATTATATATTATAATCTTAAGATTCGATGCATTCTGTTAGAGACAGGACAGTATAGACATATCCATGAAATACAGCTGTAAGCAGCAATAAGATTTAGTAGCATTTTTTTTCTCTCAAGGAATTGGCTTTTATGGAGATGTATTGATAACAATAGAATAAAATGTCTGCTTACTCTCTAGGTTTAGAACTGAAACTTCTTGACCCCACAGAGATCCCTAGGGCCTCAATGACAAGTGGTTTGGTTCAGCAGTTTGAACACACAGTCCTTCCCTCGGTGACTCCCTTGACAACCCTCATCTGCACAATGACGGCCATATTGGTAAGAACTCAGCAGGTGGTTCTTGGTTTCTTGAGTTTTCCTCTGCTTTTCTTGCAGTGCTGACTGATTTTCAGCTTTCAAGCTTTTCCAACTGCAGGATACATTCCAGGACTAAAATTCTGCAAATCCTACTGAAGTATTTCCTAGCAATTCGTAGAGTAACTTTGAACACAATAAGGGAGGATTACTAGTAAAGCCTCTGAGAGAGATTCTTGGCAGTGGCTGTTAAACCATCTGTCCATTCTGGCATGAGGTGAAAAGAAAAGCCCCAGTAGGAGGAGGCATGGAGCATGCTGTGGAGAAAGGAAACCTTTGTGGCAGGAACATCCAGCCTCTGTTTTAGTTTTCTCATCCTTGGCTGAATGATCAAAACATGTCTGGAAAACAGGATATTTTGTCTTGATGTTGATGATGAATCTCATAGCAGTGGCTCATTGCACATCAGATAAGAGTCTGCTCTGAAGGCAGGCATGGTGGCACAAGGCTGGAATTCAACTGTCAGAAGTGGAGACAGGAAGACTTCCTTAGGGGCCAACTTTGGGCTACATACATAGCAAGACCTTGTCTCAAAAAGGAAAAAAGGGGGAAAAAAAAATCAGAAAAAAAATACAAAAAGCTGAGGGTCAGATGTTGTTAGATTAGAGCCTTTATTCACCGTTGTTAGTGATCGTAGTGACCTCAATTTTGTGGTACAGTTTTAATAGGATTCAATGTAAACAACCCAGTCCTGTGGATAATTACTATACTAACTTTAATTTTGGATTCCATGTGAGCAAAATCTAGCAAGACACCTGGCTCCACTTAGTATCTGGCACAGTTCATATGTTGGTAACTCAGCTCTGCTAGCCTACTTGTTTACTGGTTTTAGCTGAGATTTTTTTTTTTTTCAAAGCTAGCTAGGCCTTGTTTATCTCTCACATTGTCTCACCCCTCCCTTATGGTTTTCCCACTTAAGGTGCCCCCATTTCCCCCCTTTCTCCCTTACTAATACCCTTCTCCTATGGTCCTACCTCTCTTGAGCTCCTTCTTTCCCTTTATCCCCTAGGTTCCTTGTATACCCTTCCCTCCTCCCTCCCTTAAACCAACCCAATTTTTATCCATATCTCCCTTATTAAGGCCTGTTTCCTACTGTTCTCTTTCAGGTTATTTCTTTTCCTTTACCTTCCTGTGTCCTTTCCATTATCCTGGTTCCTGTAGTTATGTCTGGTGCATACTTATTTAAGTTTGGTTCTAAGATACACATATGAGGGAGACCAGACGTTGATTTTTTTTCTGAGTC